GCTGTCAACCAAGTGGGCCAAACTCGCACTGGATATTAACTTAACTTTGTCTTTGTTTAGCAAGGTAGGATGGTGTTCCTGCTTGCGTTTGGATAGCAACGTAGTTGTTCGATCAATATAACCTGCCATACAGGAACATGTAAAGGCGTAGACACACTTTAAGGAGTCTGGAACAGGATTCTATCGTTGTCTTTAATGCGAAGAAGGGAAGTGCTTGAAAATACGAATCTTAACTTAGCTGCTGTATATGTACGCGCGACTGCAGCGTTCATGCAAACCTGTAGAAGTTCGCTTGCTGGATCTCCTTGAAAAGGCACTGCACGAAATAAGGTTGTCTTCTCAGCTCTCAGCATTTCCGATTTTAATGTATTAAAAATGTATTAATGAGCTTCTCGAGAAAGCCAGTTTTTTGTAGACTATCTGTGATGAGGGCGAGTTCTGTCTCCAGTGTCTCTGGAGAACGCATGCTCCTAACTCGGTCCGCGAGGCAGTGGACTAGGCCTCGTTTCCGACCTTGTGGTACAAAACTGTAGAAATTTGTATATTGCTCTGTCCAAGATTTCTTGCGAAATACACTTCAATTTTTACGAAAAATTCAGAAGATGAATTTTCTTTTCGATAATTCTCATCAGGCCTCTACATTTATATGGTAATTAGGTAAATAGACTATGCGGGTTGGTAGAAAAATAGAACAGTTGTCAGGGCAGGGGGAATGGGGGCGGGGGTGGAACGGGGTCAAAATCTTCTCAGCGTTAGGGGGAACTGGTAGTCGATTGAGGTGCTAAGCTGCTGGCTGTTGGATTAGCAGCTTTTGACCATGATATCTGTGGCGCCGCGACGAAATTCTTTTGGGTGCAAAGGACCGGTTGGCGTAGCCTGATGGCGGCCGCTTCTGGCGTAGCCAACAGACGCTCTTTAAGAAATTTTGAGTAGCTAGAGAGTACCTTGTAGATCGCTCGGAAGGCCTCTTTAGCATCCATGCGATGGTCAGAGTCTACTAGATGCGCTAGAATGGAAATTTTTACACCCTTTAGTTGACCCTTTCCTAACCATGCTGGAATGTGTTCTCCGACTCTTTTGGACAAACGCCGGCTCATGCGACCAATAAATCCCGCCTCAAAAAAGCAGGTAAATGAATATATGCACAAAGAGGTTGTCTGTACTGGCAGTTTGTCCTTGATCTCTCCGTATAGGATGGAAGTGGTCGAGAAAAGTACATGGGCGTTGGCTGCTGAGAAGGTGGTTGCTACAGCTTGATCCAGGTGCCTTCTTAGAAGTTCGCTTGGTCCGTCCCTTTGAAATGGAACCCGGATGAATATTCGCTTCTTCTCTTCGAAATATACTTCAGCTTATTGTTGCATCATACATTCTACTAAGAAGAACGTCGAGAAAGGGCAGGCACTTTCTGTACTCTCTCCGGCCCCTAGTTACTACTGATTGGTTTCTTAAACCTTTGCTTACTTGGCCCGCCCTTATATCATTGCATTTTGCTGGTGATTAATTATTCGACAATTTTTGTTTCCCCTTTATTCGACTCCCGGAATTGCATGGTAGTTAAGAGGAGTTAGCTGATGGCGTAGGAAACGATCGACGACTGGGAGAGCGAGACCGTGAAATACTGTGCCACGCTGTC